ACATGCCAGGGAGTGGACTTTTATTGGGGAACAAAAAATTCCAGGGAAAATCCCATCCAATGAAGGTTAAGGGGGCAGCATCCCAAGGTCAGGGGCGATGATTGTGTCTTCCAGGCACTGGCCAGACACGCCTCTGCACGGACAAGCCCTCGGGCCTGGAGAAAGTTGGGGACTAGCTCTGACACAGCTGTGTTTAAGTGCCTCTCACCCAGCCAGGGAGGTAACTCAAATCACGTGTGAGGATGGCTTCCCACAATTCAATTTAACAGGAACACCGAAATCAAGATGAGAAGTGGCATAAATTGAGCCTCAAAAATATTTTTTAGAATCACATATGCATTTAAACTTCTATTTTAAAAAGATCACACTCTATCTTGAAAATGGAGAGAATCTATAAACCTACAAAGAGAATCTTTTAAGCCTACAAAAGGTAGCCAGAAGTAATGAAGAAGTCAGGATTGATACCCATTTTTTTTTTTGTCTTGACCAACAGGATGCATATGGTGCTCTTAAATGAAAGAAAGAACACAGAAAGAAAACCAAGTGTTTTGAACCTATCAATATTGTAGGTGATAACTTAATGCATAACAACATATATATACCCAAAGAGTTTGGACTCAGGCATCAGGTTCGACTTCTTAGGTCTAATTGTTGTCCAAAGGGAATATTTATTTGGTAGATCAACTTGCATCTTAAATCAGTCATATACCTTAAGCCACATAGGTTGAATAAAGTAAATTCTAGGATCAGTTTAAATATTTGCAGCCATGCTAAGGCAAAAGATCTAGTACAGATAGATCAACTGTTAGCCCTATCAACTATTATTAATTGTCTTAAGTCAAATACAAACATGGAGGTTTTAAAAATTATACTCTGCTGTGTGTCATATTTTTATATGAGAAGAAAATGAGACCTACCGGGATAAAAGAACCAGCCAGTGATCACACAGCTAACCAAAGGCACACCTAGGATTCTTTTCTAGAACCAAGGTGGCCTTTGTTTGTGAAATAAGCTTTTAGCGTAATCTACTTCCCTGAAAGGACAGGTAAGGCCAACAAGGAATATCCAAGAAAAGGAAAATGCTGGAAGATGACAGATTGTCAGTGTGTGTGTCATAAAACAGGAGGTAAAAATGAAAGAAAAGTAAGGAATAAAGATATTACCTACTTCATGGCTTTGCCAAAACAGACTGACCTGTTTAAAATGATCAGGCATGAACATGTGTTTTCTATTGAACGTTCAACAATTTAGGTCATTTGGTAACTTGGAACTGAGAAGTTAAAACATGTAGGTGGATCAGAGAATATTATAAAAATCTAAAATAACAGAAGTTAATGGAAAGTAAGCTGCTCTGCTCTGCAGACCAAGCCTCAAATCCATAATATAGTCAGACTTTTCTCAAAGTTTCAGATTGACTGAAAACTGGGATAATTTGAATTAATTTATAGATGAGTTCTTTCATTTCAAAGAATATTAGTATGTTGAGCTGTATTTTCCATTGGAGTAAATTAAGTAATAAAAATATTATTTTTTGTGATCAGAGGAATTTATATTTATCAGGCATTAAATAACAAAAGTTATTTTATTTCACATTAACCTTACTTAAGCAATCCTTTGGATAATTTTATGTTGGAAAACATACTATTTTGATTAACCAAATCCTAAAATATTTGTTTGGGTTCTTTTGAAAATTCTTGCCCATTGCTTTCTTTGCCCCTATTAGCTAAAAATGCTCATTTTCATGTCTAATGCCTTCATGTAGAGACACTTCTATTCTAATTGTGCTCTCTCTTAATCATTTGAGACCTATGACATATATTGTAACCAAATAAGGACATTTATATTCTTAAGTGAGAGAAAGTATCTGTATACCATTCATTTAAACATATTGTATTTACAAGCACAAATGAAACAATCCAACTATAAGCCTTTCCTTAATTAAAAAAAAACAATTATGTCATCATTGCTTGAATCAACAACAACAACAAAAACTCTTTGATATGTGCCCCTTTGGGAGGCAGGCTTTAATCATTATTTTAAAAATCCATAATTAATATTAAAGAAGGATCCATCAGAGTGAGATTTTTTGGGTATTATACTTACATAAAGATTTTTTAAAAACCTGAACACCTTGTAAAAATCTACTTTTTAGCTATCTATTTCATTCCAGCAATTGTGTCACAACATGATTCTTAAAATCTAAGCATTTTATGGCTCTTTAATGGCTACATATAACATAATGCTTTCTGATACAGAGCACTGCTTCTTAGAAGTCAGCTTGACAGGGTGCACCCAGCATGTTTATTAAAGGAAGGGTGTGGGGCAGCCAGAGGTGGCAGTCTGTTGTTTTATAAAGGACTTTGAAGTCCAATACAGCATGGATCAAATGGCCCCCTGTGAAGATTTTCTTTGTGTCAGCGTTAGATACATGAATTTGATATCATTTATTTTTGCAGGAAATACCAATGAACTTTGTGGATCCCAAAGAAATTGACATTCCACGTCATGGAACTAAAAATCGCTATAAGACCATTTTGCCAAGTAAGTTTCTTGATTCAGTAATTTGCACTGCAAAGCACAGGGCAAGCCTTTTTCATTCACCTTGGCTTCACCATTTCCAATCCTCACAATGCCCAAATTTGGAGTTACAGCCATATATCAAACTAATAATAACCATTAAAGTTGTGTGAAGTAAATAATTTCATTCTATATTACTCATATTATAATGATCTGCTCACAATTTCTGAAGATACATGACTCTAAAACTTTATTGTCCTACACATTATGGTCAATTGATTTTTATCATGAGTATCAGAAAATTCAGTAAGGAGCATATTTTCAACAAATAATGTTAAAACAACATGCCTCCCTACCAAAAAATGAAATTGAACCTTACCTTGTACCATGGATCAGATACCTACATGTTACATAGGAGCTAAAAAAATTAAAAATCATAAGATAAAAAAGGTATAAATCTTCATGATTTTCAATTAGTCAATGGTTTCTTTAATTTGACATGAAAAGTACAATAAACCAAGAAGAATAAATTAAACTGCATAAAATTTTAAAGTGTGCTTCAAATGACACTATCAAGAAAGAGAAAAGGTAACCCACAGAATAGGAAACAATATTTTCAAATCATGTATTTAAAAAAGAATTGTAAGTATAGTATATAAAGTACTCCTACAATTCACTATTAAAGGACAGCCCAATTTAAAAATAGTCAAAGGACTTCAGTAGAAGTCTACCTTCTCCAAAGAAGATAAACAAATAACCAATAATCATATAAAAAGATGCTCACCATCATTAGCCATCAGAGAATCAAAATCACAATGCTATGTCATTTCATATCCACTAAGATGATTATATAAATGATAGACAATAAAAAGCATTGGCAAGGATGTACAGCAATTGTAACCTTTTCAGACATCGCTCATAGGACTACCAAATGCTATAGCTACTTAGGAAAGTAGTATGTAGTTCCTAAAAAGGTAAAACTTCAAGTTACTTTATGAACCAAACAGTCTACTCCTAAGTATACATCCAAGAGAAATAAAACATGTGTCCACACAAAAAAATACACAAAAATGTTCATAGCAACATTATTAATATCCAAAGAGTGGGAATAACACGAATATCCATTGATTGAATAGGAAATAAAATTCAGTATATCCAAAATTCATATTTTATATGAATATTCTGATTTTATATGGAATGAATAATAAGAAACCAGGTATTAATATATACTAGAAATGGATAAACTTTAAAAATATTTTTCTAAATGAAAGAAAACAGCATAACACATCATATTTTATAATTCCATTTGTATTAAATGTCCAGCAATCAAATGTATGAAGACAGAAAGCAAATCAGTGGTTTCCCAGTGTTGAATGGAATGGGACTGACTGCTAAAGGGTATGGAGTTTATTGGGGAATACTGAAAATGTTATAAGATTCGTCATGATGTTATTTTCAGGATGCTGTAGAGGAAAAACATAACTGTGGTGGCATGCTAGTGGACAAATTGTATAGAATGTGAATTATATCTCAGTGATATTATTACCACTGTGCATAACAATCTCCTATCATCTGTGTTGAAAATCCAGCACCCTGAGCCCAGTCCCTGGGGTTTTGTTTAAGTAGGTGTGTCCTTGAGCCCAGGAAACTGCTTCTAGCAAATATCCAGGTGATTCTGATACAACTGATGCCAGGACCACACTTTGAAATACTATAAATTACATTCAAGCTAAAATTGGCTGCATGAAAGTTATCAGTGTCAAGCAGTGAGCTGGATGCCAGGGACCCATCAGGAGTGAGAAACAGTAAGATCAAGGAGCTCATGGACTGGAGAGGAGAGACATGTAAATGAGTAATAATGTCATAGAGCTAGAATAGAGCTATGGTGTAAGAGGTACAGAAGTGTAGAAAGCACTGAGTAATTAATTCTGCAAAAACATTTTGGAGAAGTAATATTTTCCATCACTCAAGAAACAGAGTTGGGGTTTTGGAGAAATCATGAACATCTGATTGCAACAACTCTGCAAAGATGGAGCTACAAAGATTTATTTGAAGTATTGACATTGAAATAGTTTAAATTCCATCAATTCACTTTTAAAACAGCAAATAAATTCTCCATACTTATCATAAGCACTTAAACTCAAGCAGTTGAAGAATTTCTGGGGTTTTTGTTTGTTTGATTTTGCAGTGCTGGAGATCAGAATCAGAGCCTTGTACATGCAAGGCAAATGCTCTACCACTGAGTTAGATCTCCAGCCCAGAGTTACTATTAACACTGTTAATGCGCCTGGAGGCCTCCCCTTTGGTGGAATTGAAATGCATTGTTAGTCACTCCACACCAACATTTTAACTAGTCTATACAGTCAAATCTATTTACCTCAGCTCTAATCACTGTCAAAAGACATTCTATGACTACAACTAGCTAAAAGGGATGAATGTGCTCTGTGTAAGAATTGGTTCTCTCTTCACTGCTAAAATTTTCATCTAAAATATACTGAACGTTAAGTAATTCATCCACCACAATTATTATATGTACAGGAACCGCCGTCTAATTTCAGAAGGATTTGGAAATTACTAGGATTATTTCAAAGTTCAGCCTTCTCTGTTTCCTGCCCTGATGATATCAGACAACTGCGCCACAACCCTGTGTCAGCTTTTCCATTCCCAGAACTGGGTGGACCGTTTTCTCAACCAGGGGCACCTGTGCTGACAACTGATGTTTGGAATGATGGATTTTCTGTTGAAAGTGCTTGTAGCCCAAGTATCCCACCCAACCTTGTTGCACGAAATATTATTTAGCAAATAGAGTTTTGACAAGCCACACTCTTGGCTGAAAATTATTATGAGAGACTGAAATGAAATGGGCAAAGCTGTTCTTTATGATTTATTTTAGAATGTAATACGAGATAAATTTAAAACATTAAGTTAGTTGATGATTCGCCATTGACCAAGATTTGAAACATTATGTTTGTTTTTATTGTTTTAACCTACAATAAACTCCTTTTACATTTAAAATTTTGGTAGTTTGAACACAACAGTAATGCCATATAATTTTGAGGATTTTTTTTTAGTGCATAGATACCAAGAACTCATTCAATTTTAACTGTTTCTCTGAGGACAGGATAATGTTAGCCTGGTTCAGAACAATGTATATGGTAGATTGAAGTGCTAAAGTCAAGTTTATGTCAAATTATTTTGTAATATAAATAAATATTAGTCATAAAAAATGTTCTACCCCAAATCTCAAAAGCAGTAGGGAAAAGCCCAATCATATAACAATATGAAATTATTAGCATCCAATGAAGTAAAATAATAAAAACTATGTACACTTTTTCACTTATACAAAAATAAGGCAACACATACAAAATTAAAGAACACTGTTTACTCTGACTATTCTTTTTTACTTAAAAATGTAGTGCCTAGTTATGTTTTTAACTTAAATTATGCTTTTATATTTTTATATTAAGTACTTACTACAAGGTAGATATTCAAACAAGTGAACCACTCTTGAAGGCAACAGATTGAGTTAGATTATTTCCTACTCCACTAAAAAACATTCACAATTTGTAACAGGCTACTAAATGTTCCTTTGTCATCTTTTTCTTCATCTCAAGTGATAATAATAACAAGTGATAATAATTCTAGCTTCCAAGGACATTGAAAGAATTAAATGATATTGTATGTAAAATGACAAGCAAAGTTCCAATAAATAATACGATACTGTTGGTTTCTGTTTTCCCTCCCTGACTAAATGATGATGAATCCATCAGTTGCAGAATAAATTACGGAAAATGTTCTTCTATGTATAGAAGGGTTCACAGGTTCAAAAGCATAGTATTCAAGAGCCCTCTTTTATAATTTTCATTTGCTTTTTACAAGTGATCTTCTATATAATCACCATCAACTCTCTACAGCTATGGATATGTTCTATATAATTCCAATATGATAGCCCATTAACCATTTGTAGCAAGTGAGCACTTGAAGATTATAGCTAATGCAGCTAGAGGAACTGATTTCTAAATTTTATTTCATATTTAGATAAATTAATTAGCTTCATATGACTAATTGGCTACTGCATTAGACAGTGCGGGCTTGGTATCTTCTCTCTCTCTTTCCTTCTCATTTCCTGATTTATGTTGATTAGTCTGTGAAACCATTCTTTTCATTCCTGGCTTTGTTCACATGCTACAGTGATATATTTTTCCCCATCTAACCAATTTATCTCTTGACTTCAAAGCTCAAATGCACTTCTTCCTGGGGGGAAAATTTTGACACAGACTAACCTTTGATAAAATCTAGTATAATGTTAGTCACATCAGGATCCAGGTATCATTTTGTCTGTTAAATGGAAAATTTGAGATTACAGCATATATTTTAGAGAGACCAAGGTGAGGAAATTTCATAAATATAAATTTGACAGAACAAATTTAAATACAGACTTGGTGAAACAAATCTATATTTCTGTCCAATAAAGTTGAAAGGAAACATGAACAAGGAGGAGAAAAGAAGGGAGATAAGGAAAAAGGAATTATGGGAAATAAGAAAAAAAGAGGAGGGGAGGAGAAAAATAAAAGGGCAGAGTAAAATAAAAAGAGAAATAATGATCAGTATTCAAATAATATGTGTAATTATTATTGCTACTACCCTGATGTATCATAAATGCTTTGCTAAGTATTTAACATAGTTCAGAAGTTTTTGGTTAAAATTATCATAGTGAATTTGACTAATATGTAGACTTAAATGCATAGTATTAATAAAATTGTGGAGGTAGTGATGAAAATGATGATGATGATGGTGGTAAAGTATATTTTTAATCCTCAGCTGTTTTAATAGTCTAACCCAATATATTAAAAAGCTTTAGTTGGAAGTCTACTTTTCCCCTATTCAGTCATATGTTGGGTTCTTTGCTTTAAAGATAAAAAAAGTATTTGAAAACCTCTGAATACTTGGAAATTACTATAAATTACTAATTTCCAACATAAACTTTAGCTTGACATGGAATCGCTTCTACATAGTTATAAAAT